TCGTTTTGCGTGTGTGATGCAAGGATATCCGGAGACCCCAAACGCCCCTGTGATTTTTGATTTGGTCAAAAGGAATTTTTGGATGTTCCATCTTCTATCCGCAAAGGTGTCTGATTATGTTCTGTTCGGAGACAGCAGACTCTAAGAGCCTGTGCCAGGGTTGTCTATACGCCCATGCCCAGGTCGCTTGCTTTTGCAGATCCGAGATGTCCCACCAGTTGATGAACCGTCCAAGTCGTTAGATTGAAAACACCCAAGGGCCCTTTTTTTGTTGTCGAAAGAAAAGCGTCCTCGCGGACAGTTTACTTTCTGCGGAAGGAGCAGCCCTCAGTGAGTCTCGCCTTACCACCGGTAGGCTGGCACAGGACGGTGGTGCATCCCTGGCAGATGACGACGGTCTGGGCGTGGGAGAAGACAGTAGTGATGGTGAAGCAACCGGGGCACTTGACGTCCATGAAGAAGGAGCGGGGAGCAGGCACAAGGGTCTGCGTCGAATGTGTGAGCACATCATGGTCGTGATGATGGAAGAGGGGTGGTGGTGTTGGTGGTGGTGCGGAGTGGCGGGCGTACCTTGAGCTTGTGCTTGCGGGCCTCAGCGGCCGGGGAGGGGTTGAGGAGATCAACGGCGAGAACCTGGGAGAGAAGCCATCAGCATGATGGTTCCATCATCAAATGATCGCGTGCGCGCAGTCGTCGTGTGTGTTTGCATCGGCCTGCGTGTCCGTCGTGTCCTTCCGAGTTCCCCGCCGTACCATCTTTTCCCCCTCTTTCTAAAGTTTTTTTTTTGTCGCGGGTCGGGCCCAAGTCGTGATTTTTTCGATTTGCCGTCGGTCGGGGGGCGAAATTTGTTCAAATGCACACACACGGCGCTGCACGTAAAATCAAGCAGCGGTGAGCTCTTACCATCTTGACTGATCTGATCGGTTATGGATTGATCGGTTATCGGTGCGAGTGCGGTCGGTCTTGGACGGAACTGGTGGTGTTGAGAGGCAGTTGGCACTCGCAGAGACTTGAGGGTTGAGCGATGATGGGGAGATCTGAAAAAGTTCGGTTCGTGTGCCAACCGACTCGCTGGGCGGCGAGACGCATGGGCCTCCGCCGTTTTTGGACTAGCGAGGAGGGTTAGGCAGCCCCAGCACGTGACGGGTCCAGCGAAGGCAGCGACGACCTCCGAAATCTTGGCCCCTGCTAGGTACCTTACCTAAGCTGGAGCTTGGGGTAAGGTGAGGTAGCGGGGTTAATGGCTTCGATGCAATTCCTACCCGAGTGTCATTGCGTCAAGGCTGGGTACTTCAGGCTCCAAACATTTTACGCAGCTGCCTAAGTCACTTATCATTGATACAGCTGGTTGAAACCTCCTTCTGCGCTCTGTCGCTCCTCTACCTCTTCCTACCCATCATTGCCTGACTTCTTCCCATTTCCTCCCTTCAACCTCTGCTGCGTCTGCACACGTCACAATGGCTGCCCCCGGAGACCAAAGAATCGCCGTACCCATCGATGATCCCAACGCAGACACCGAGTGGTACGTTGCCGTTTCTCCTTGAAAGTCGCGCGACGAAACCCTGACACATTTGCGCCAGGAACGATATCCTCCGCAAACATGGAGTCATCCCCGAGAAGCCCCCAAGCCCGACACCCATGATCGAAGAAGCAATTCTCGAGGGTCGACGATTGGCACATGAGAACAGGTTGGAGGGCAAGGACCTGGATGAGCTCGACGAGCTCGAGGACGACGAGGACGAGGCGTTCTTGGAGCAATACCGTCAGAAGAGGATGCAAGAGCTGAATGCGCTCACGAAAAAAGCTCTCCACGGCACCGTCTACCCGATCTCGAAGCCCGAGTACCAGCGCGAAGTCACAGATGCGTCCAAGAACGGACCCGTATTTGTCAACCTTACCTCTTCGCTCGGCACGAACGTCGAGTCCAGAGTGCTGACCGAGCTGTGGAGGCAAGCGGCTAGGGAATACGGAGACATCAAGTTCTGCGAGATGCGCGCGGACAAGGCCATTGAGAACTACCCCGAGCGCAACTGCCCGACAATTCTGGTGTACAAGGACGGTGATATTGTGAAGCAGATCGTCACGCTCGTGCAGCACGGAGGTGTCAAGATAAACATGCTCCAGATCGACAACCTCCTGGTCGAGGTTGGCGCAGTCAAGGACTCAGACATGCGCGTTGTTAAACGCCGCAGACAGGCTGAAGACGAGGAGGAGGAGAGGGCGATGGGCAACAAGGGTATTCGACAAGGCACCGTATCAAAGTCAAAAGGCGACTCTGACGATGAGGATTGGGACTGAGGGAAATTTGGCATGACGGTGACCTAGCCGCGGGCCAACTCGGGACTGCTGCACGTCGATGCCATGAAACAGCATCATGTACGTGCCAAATCTAGCGCATGCCGGACAGCCGAGAGCGCGGAATGATAGTTACACGGGGGATATATACATCGCTGACGTGTCTCCCGAAGAGCTCATTTGCTTGAGCCTTATGGGTTGTCCTGCGATGCGGACCCCGCTTCGATCGATTGCAAAGATCTATAAGAGCCAGACATTGGTGGCACGACCCCCAAAGTCTTCGAATACCAAAACACCAAACCTGTTACCTAGGCACCCATACCGCAAACCAAGCTGGATAGCGTTGCTTAACTTTGACAATAGCCAGGGACAGAGCTGGTTGCTGGCATCGTGTCGTGCATTTGGTGCCCCGCGTGTTGTAGCGGATGGACCCTTGAAGATGCATGTGGGGGTTCAGGGTTGTTCACTGTCCATGTTCTTCGATTCGATACAGAGTACCCCGCTAACCGTATCCGGAGAGCTCCGGTCGAGTTAGGACGCGCGGTAGCGTGTTGATCAGGTTGCCGCAGATGTAAACAAGCGTTGAGGCTTCAAAGAGCACATCGATTGAAAACTGAGCAGTTCACGCCGATTGACCAAATTGCGACAGGCGCCTCCTCGGCGAGTTTGGAGCTGCTCGGAGCTTGGGTCGGAGATCGTGTGATCGCAGTCCCCTGTGGAACCTAATCCCGGCCGCCGAACGCGTTGAGCCCCCACTTGCGTCACGACGCGCCTGGCCGTGTTCCACTCCTGCCGGTGGCGGGCGGGCGCTGCGCTGGGGGTAAGCTTCACTTAGACCTCTCCTTGCGCACAATTTCGTTTCTGTCCACTTCCTCCTAATCTTTCCCTTTTCCATTCTTCGAGATGTCCGACGAACCTAGTCTCCCGAGTCTCCCACCTTCCCTTAGCTGGAACGCGCAAACAGAGCGTTTCAGCAGCAAACCCAATAACCCAAAGAAGCGCAGGTACGACCTCAAGAGCCATTCCGCCGCGCCGCCGTCATGGTCCAACTCGAGCGATCCCGCCGTCTTCTCCAGCGACGATGACCCGGGCCTAGACAACTACGTCGAGGGGAGACGCAAGAAGCGGTACATTGGATCATGGTACCAACAGCAGCCTGCTGCATCATCCGACTCAGCCACGGGAGAGCCGCGGCCCGCGCTGAGGGGCAAGCGGGCGTTCAAGCGCGACATGGATTCCGGTGTTTGGATGGGAAGCGACAGCACCGACGGGGACGACACGATGATGCCCGAGCTGCCGACGCAGGCGCGGTTGCCTCAGCTGAATGCGGCCCCCGCACCGGTGCGTCGCAATGTGGTTTCTTCGGAAGAGGTGGAGGCGCGGGAGAAGATTCAAAGATTCGTGGACGCAGGAGAGGAAAAGATTGATCTCTCGTAAGTCATTTTTTGCGATCCAATGGAAAGCGATGCGTACTCATCCCTCCGGCAGAATGATGGGTCTCAAGTCGCTTTCTGACGCGACTGTTCGGATATTATCTGAGTTCTCTTGCATCCCCGTTGTCGCCGAAGGAGTACCTTTTGAACACAAGGATCCTTCTTTGGAGCTCTACCTCTACCGCAATCCCCTGCAAAGACTCCCTGGTGCCGTCTTTGACCTGGAGCATCTGACGGTGTTGTCTCTGCGCGGATGTAGACTGAGGGAGCTGCCTCCGGCGATTGGCAAGATGCGCAAGCTCAAGACTCTCAACCTGGCCCAGAACCTGCTCAGATACCTTCCTGCTGAACTGCTCGACCTAATGGCTGCGCCGTCGTCTCTCGTGGAGCTTCTCCTCCAAGGCAACCATTTCTTCCAGAACGCTGATCTTCCCCGTCTTAGTGACATGGACAATCTTACTGCTGAAGATCCTGAGGGCAAGAATTTGCTGGAAGCCTGGCGAGAAGGATTCAGCGGCACTGCTGGCAGATTCTTCGCGCGGTCTCCCGTCCACTACCTGGACACCTCAGGATTCTCGCATTCGGAGTTCCGCCTCGACCCTGAGGCTGTGATGGTGCCGATTGACAGACCAGAGGATGATGGCGCCTCCCTCGTCACACCTCCCTCATCGGCCCCGTATCATTCCAAATCAGCTGGCAGAAGCGTCATGAGCGCGCAGGGAAGCCGTGTGCCCAGTTTGATGGAGCTGGCTCTCCGCAGCGCCTACAAGACCTCGAACCTCGAGGAGTTGCCCGACTACATCCCCGAGATGCCGAAGCTTCAGGGCCTGCTGGAGCGTGCTGCTGACCAGAAAGAGGTCGGCGGCCAGACGTGTTGCGCCTGCAAGAAGTCATTCGTGGCACCGACGGTTCAGTGGCTGGAGTGGTGGCAGGTCTGCTTGGTCGAGAGCAGACAGAGGGAAGGCAACCACTTCCTTCGGTCGCGACCATGGACTGATCTTCTCGAGGAGAACGACGGTGCCGTGCCATTTTTGAGAAGAGGGTGCTCGTGGAAGTGTGGACCCGCTGAGATCAGGGAAGGGCAGTGGTCGATTCGACCGGCTGAGGATGCCGCGTAAGGCCGTGGCTGAGAGCCACTTGGCGGGGTTTCAGTGCGCAACACGAATGCGCGTATGTCACGGTTCAAAAGGCTAGGAGTTGGGGGCAGGACCATTCGAATTTATTGTAATTTTTATGGGTATAGGCAATGGCGTTCTATGATTAGCCGGGTTTTCAACTGAAGCTCGTTCCAACACCTTCGCATATCTCGCCCTTATTGTACCACTTCAACCCTGGCAGAATCTCAGAAGCAACCCACCTCGCCGTCTGCGAATGCATGCTCCCCTGCCCGAATGGTTTCTCAGTCCTATCCCGCCTCATTCTTTCCCCAAGATCCGGCTCCGCCACGTTCTGCTGTAACGTCTCCGCATCGGCGCCCTCCGCCACGGGGCTTCGCGGGAACGACGTGCGGCCCCCGGCGAGCGCCTGGAAGATGACGAGCTGGTCTTGGAGGAACTCGTCGCAGACTGAACCCTTGACAGAGAGCTCCTTGGCCAGGTCTCTGACTACGCGCCGCGAGACCAGCGACGCGATGCTTTCTTTTTGCTTCCCCTTCTTCGGCGTGGACATGAGTATGTCGCGGCCCCAGCGGAGCCCCGTGGCGGAGCGGGCGACGAGCAGCACGTAGATGCGCGCGTCGTGGCCCGAGTCCTCGACGATCTTGAAGGTCACCTCTGCTGTGGGGACGTGGGCTGTGATTTCTTTTGTGAGGGCGTTTTGGAGGTCTGAGTGCATGTGCGAGGGGACGATCATGGAGACGTCTACGTGGCGGACTTCAAAGTCATGCTCTGGTGATGGGAGTGGCTGTAGTCTCTGGCCCTGTTTGAGAGGGTGGATTGTTAGGCATATTGCGCCTCTGCTCTGCGGACCGAGACTCCAGCCGCGTTTCTTGAGGTTCCTTTCGATGGTGATGCCGAAGACGTCTTGGAGCCTGGGGAGGAGGACTTGGTCGAGGTATTCGTAGCTTAATGACATGCCCACGTTTGTTCCACCTGTTATTTCGAGCTCCACGGGGGCCGGCTCATCCTCGCTTTCCGCAGCGTAGAGGAGGAAGGGGAGGATTGCCTGGAGTATGAGTAGAGTGCTCGCTGCGCCGGTGTCTGCGGCAATCTTGATCGATCTGCTCTTGCCGTCTAGAGCGTTGGCTGGAGGTATGCGTGGGATGAAGACGAGTGTGCTGCTGCCGACTTCTAACCCTTCCACGTCTGCTTCGGTGGCTTCTGCTAGCCATCTGATCGCAGTTACGTGCTGAGCTTTGAGACCTGAAGGAAGACGTCAGCTGAGGACGCAACTTCAGTTGCCTATTGGGGCAGTGCTTCTTTACGAAGTGACAGAATGGGGAAGCTGGAAAGCACGAACCTCCTCCCTTTCCGCCTGAACGGGTAGGTCGGTTCCCTCTCACATGTATGATCTTGACAGCTTGGGAAGTTACGGAGGCCAAGGCGACGGCGACGCGGACGAGCTGGCCGCCGCCTTCGCCAGTGCGTCCGTCTATCTCAATTGTTTTGGCTTTGCCCATTGGGATGATGTCTGTCGTTAAATGGTGCCCGGAAAATACTTAAGTAAGACCGAAGTGTTTTCGGTGGGATATGCGTGTAAGTGTGCTGCTTGCTGACCCGGATTTCAATTGGTCTTGGTACGCCTTCGGGGATCACCGCTGCGAAGGCGGATGAGGCGGATGAGACAAGAGCGTTTTGTCAGCTGCTTGAAGACAGTGATGGAAAGTTCTTTCTCGTAGGTTTGGGAAAAAGAACTTTTGGTGCTCAAGTGCTCTCAAGGTATTTGAATTGCAAATAAGCAAAGCCAGGTTAATATGACTACTGCCCATGGATGCCTATTTAAGCGATACAGGAGGACCGTGGTTCGTAGTTGACTCACTCGGCGTAACACAACAGCGGCCTCATTAAGCTCCCGCGCCCATCGCCCATCTATCTCAACCAGGTAGGTGTCGAAAAAGCATTCTCAATTAGGATGCTTCTCTGTTTGTCCGGTAATCTAATTACCCGCTGCAGAACCGGAAATAAATCATGAATTCCGTTGCCTGCAATGGCGCAGTCAAGGATGAGTCTGAGCCCCTTAAAGGAACGTGGTGGTCTGCTTTCGAGTGGTTCGACCGAACCTCTGCGTCGTCAGCACATGAAATGGGCTTTAAGAGATGCCCATCCCCAGTCCACCATGATGCATAAGTATTCTCGATGGAATTCTCGATTGACGATTCCGAAGGGTAGTTGCAGTGCAGGTTTTCCCCATACTCTGTTTTGGCCCTTGATTCCGGCTGTTTGCGTGGATAAAGTTCTCTGGGCCCGGTCGATCCCGCTTTCATAACTTTACCGCCGCTTGGACCCGACTCAATCTTCACCCCAGCTCTTCTTCTCCCCTTTCTCCTTTTTCGTTTTCTACTTCCATCACCTTCTCTTTCTCTCAAATTTTCTGTGGCAAAAGTTCGTTCGGAGACGGCTTCATTTTCGGCGGGCCTCCGCCGCCTCCGGCACCTCCACTGGGCCGAGACACCGTACGCAGCACGGCAGGGCCAATCAGCGCTCACGGCAGTGCCTCAGTTGGCAACGGCCAGTATCTAGGTCGCGATCGGCATGCATGCACTGCCGGTGGATTAACACACTCGGCCGAATTCATTCGACGACTCAAATGCTGTGTAATCGGCTAGTGGCCAAAAACAGGCATTGACTTCAACCGAGGCCTCGAGGAAAACTTGGTTGACGCGCATGAGTCGTGATAAGGCGAAGCGATGATTCACGGTAGCGGCGAGGGAGGCAAAAATTTCCAGAGGCCTGCGGCTGTGGCTTTGCATCGAAGAGGTGGCTGTCGAGCACATACAAGAAGGTTGATGTTTTCGTTGAGGCTTGCGAACGGGAGAGCCTCTCTTGATTGATTTGACCACGACTTCGTGGCTGGTACGCATATGCCACCAAACCCGACCCAAGCAACCGGCGACCAGTCATCATTTTGGGCATACACCTCTAGGCAGCCTCGACACGCCTAGACCTGGACGACGCGGCATGAACGCGACACAGAGAACGCCTCTCCATGTGGCGGACGACTGGTGGAAAAAACAAGGTTGCATGTGCTTGTGTGAATTACAACACATGTAGTTGCCTCGACGCCTTGGAAAGCTGGGCCGATATATAAGTCGACCTCGCTCACTCATGTCACTTGCATCGAAGGGACGGGGGCGACTGACGACACTCTATTGTTCTACGAAGGAGCAAACAACAAAGGAGAGGGGTACCCAAGTGGGACAACCTGGAAACCGGACACCCCTCCGACGTCGCATCAGATGGGTGTTTCTGAAACCAATATTCAAACGCCTATTCTATTCCTACAACGCCTCGTATATATCTGGGGCACGCCGGCCCTTGGTATGTTCTTTCATATTGGTATTTGAGAACCGTCTTTGCAGATGCCATCTTTCTATTCGAATGTTGTTTTGTCTTTGCCTTATAGGTATGGAGGGGTAGTATGAGGTCGACAAAAGTATGAAATAGGTATATCGGACATCTATCGTTCAACTTGGGACTAACTGTCGAAGTAGATATGTTAGCATCGTCCTTGAGGATAGTCTTGGTGGAAGACTGAACTCACTTGGATCAACCCAACATTCTTACACCATCACCAACATCGATCAATCTTTACCGTTTCCCATATTGATAGTGGTCATCCAAATCCAAGTTCGGAGAGTAATACGACTGTTGCGAGTTCCCGCTGCTGGGGAATTGGCTGTTCACCCTCTTGATCGCTGCGGTAGCGTTGGCACCATATTCATGCGGCTTGTATGCAACACCAGAATGGTTCCGGGCATAATCAGCGCTTGACTGTTGAGAAGCAGCCGCACCCGCCGCCCGAGGATTACTGTGCCCCCTTTCGTTGTCAGTAATACTTCTTATTCTTGGCCGCTTGCTCCCCTTACCCAAAACTGCCCGCGTCATTGTACGTCGAGCCATAGCTCTGTTGGGGCGTTGACGACGACATGGTGTTGGAGTGGGATCGTTCGTTGTCACGAGCACTCTTGCTTGACTTGGACTTGGACTTGGACTTGGAGCTATGGGAAGTGCTCTTGTGGTGCGTTTTAACCGGTTTGTATCTGAGGAGAGGGGTTGGTATGCAGAGTGTTGTCGAGTCTTGGATGTAGGAAGTTTGTCTCTTCTTAAGCTTTCTTGCTGTTGCTGTTCATCAGTTCGGACCTGGCACACGAGAAGCTTAAAGGAGTCATCGGCCATTGCCCCAGGCAGCAAGAACACTAGCTTTTGCACCCACGTCTTCCTGGCTAGTGTTCCTGGGCGGCGCGGCGCAGTCGGGGTCCTTTTTCCACTTGGCAGGGTCGGCCCAAGCTTAGGTGCTCTTGCAAAAACCGCGCGAGTGCGCAACAGCTCCGAAACTTTGTGGCGGCGTCAAGAGATGACCAGTCGGACGCAGGCCATCACGCACTGACTAATGTTCCGGAGGCGACAAGAGACGACGACGACGACGACGGCGCGAAGCGAGTCAAGCGACGCAAGTAGACAACGACTAGGCGGCATGGACAGATGCCTTGGCGAACCGCCGAGGACCGGTGTTCGAATGCTGACAGAGGTGGTTCGCCAAAGAGTCCTGTTCAGGACTCTGGGGGGCCCTGGGCCTAGGCCTGTACATGGGATGGTGCCCGTTGTTGCCGTCTGACATATCACATGAGGTGGCTAGCAAGGAATCAGCCGTTCGTCTTCCATTACGTTTGGAAGAGGAAAGCAAAACCCCTGGGCCCTCGCCCGGTGAAGAATGGGGGGTAAGGGGAGAGAGAGAAAAAGAGGGAATACGGTACGTTGAACGAACCCGGTGCAGAAGGTCAGCCTGAGCTAGCCAGCTCACCGTCACTGCCACGCATAGCTCCCGTTGTTGACAAGGTAGCCCAGGGCTCGGTGCTCACAAGCCACCTCATCGCCCCCAAGGTCAACCATCTCAGGCATCGGTGACAGGAGTCGTCGGAGTGCCTACGAGAAAGCCCCGATACTGCGGCCATGGCATATTCGAGTGGCGAGAGTTTACGAGCAACGGAGCGAGGCCATGCAGTGATGGAAGCAGGCGTTGTGCTCTTATCCCCTTGACGGAGCCCGCGCAATTCCAGTAGGAAGCGGGGAAATGGCACATGACGACAAACCTGCAAGCTAAAACAGGCCCCGGAACCACAAGCATCGCTCCCCGGGGAAACAATGTCCCTGGCATGGGACTCGATTCTGCAGGCCTCTAGGATTCGAACAAGGAGCTCCTCAGAGACAGAGACGGAGCGACGAGAGCACAAGCGAATCCAGGATTACCTTTGCTTCCCTGTGGAACGCGGCTACCTACGAATGATGCCGCAGGGGGAGGGGGCAGAGTGAGGGGCTTCCAAGGCTTACCTGCCGATACCGCCCCCCCCCCCTTTTCTCAACACCATCGATTAGCCCTGTGATTGTCTCACAGCCAAACCGTTCCTTCCCCTAAGCCCAAGCCCACCGAAAGGAAACGCAGAAAGTACGTCCCGTCATTTCAATGAATCAAAGGATTTATGTTGACACCAGCTGAGAGAGAAGCTGAGGCGACCGCGTCATCCTGAAGTGCAGTGTAGGCAGGCAAGCAGGCTGTATGCGGGCATCCCCTTTCGGCGATGATGTGGTACCCAATTCTCCACCATTCTTTCTTTTCTTCGCAATCACCCTGTCGTCTTGTTTTGGGCCGCCATTCTCCAGTGATTAGCATGAACGCGAAGAAAATCGTCCGATGCGAACTCTTCGAAAGACGCAGAAGAGTGGAAAATGCAGCTAGCCGCTGTGCCGTTCTCCAAGAGCCAGCTTGCAAGGGGTGGAAGGGTGGGTGTGTTTGCCCGGCAAAGGGCAGGCACAGAATGTTTATCGACAAGAAGCTTGCCGTTCTTGATAAGCGAGCTTCAGGCCTGGCCGCATATTTGGTCATACGTCATGATGCCGTTGGGGCCGACACCGAAAGAACAACCGGACACACGCGTTTTTGGCTGAAGCCACTGCTTCTCGCCGCCCCCAGGAGACACCATCGCAATGAACAAGACAATTTTGAGATGAGACAGCAAAGAGAAAACTGCAAGATGGCGCCTGACGACTGTTACTCGTCCTTTAGACGCGGTCCACCATCTCATTTTCCCTGATCAGGCTGGGCTGAATGGCCGCTGGAGTCACTCACTTGCCGAATTTGACGCGACGCTGACCAAAGCTGGATAATTGCAACCACACTCTATTGTGAAGCATCAGGGCTGAAACTGCTGACACACTCTCCTTAGGAAGGCGGAAAGGCTTGACCGCGGAAAGGTTGATGATCATGTTGAGGCTGCGATGATACAACAAGGCTATTACCTGAGATTGCGTGGATTTTGGAGTTCTATCCCGCTCGTACCCGGTCTCCGATCTCAGCTCAGCAGGGGATTGCATCCTTCTCGCTCTTAACAATTCTTCTATTTTGCAGAAACTCGTCAGACTTCTGTGCATGAGACCAGCATCAATGGTCAACCTATATTCGGTT